CAACAACTTTTCAATAATATCTGGAATTACGTAGCACTTAAATTTTGAACTTCTAGACTACTGTACAGCCTAACCTTATTAAGCTAGCTACATACACTCTAGACAGTGCTGTGTCTACTGCCATCCAAAAACAAGTAGGGAACACTTGACTTCTCAGGTCGACCTTGTTTCTTGAGCATGATCAAAGACTACCTAATGCATTTGACTGGCATTGAATTCAGCACTAGGTACTGGAGGCACGGCTGGTCTTATTAAAAATATGACAGTACAAAGATAAATATAGTGTGTTCTGAGTAATAGCTTAGTGTATATATCACAGGTGCAAAAAGTGTTCAGTCTTCCAATCTGCAGTTGCTGCTTTCCAACAATCTTCTTTAACTGCTAATCTGTAGCCTGATACCACGTCCTTCCTATTAAGTCACGTGCATGACAGTGTAACAGTTGGTTGCTATGGAGAGAATAAGCTAGAGAAAGAGCTGATGCTAACTCAGCGAGAGGAAGGTTGTCCGGGAAAGGAGGAAGAGGAGTCCTGGTTCCTTCTTCAGAGACAACTTCTGTGTTTTATCTTAAATGATGAAATGAAACACATAAACAAGTTGAAGAGCACTGTCCTCCTTCCCCTTGCTCAAACTTAGGGCTTGTTGTATATGGATATTCTGTACCTAAACAAATACAAAGCTGAAGTATTTGTATATTTCTGATGGAGATTTCATCTAGACCCACTTTAGTGATAAACCTTTCTATCATCATTGCCAATGACAGAGAAAAGGTGCATATGAATGGTACAATACCAGATTTGTAACCACATACAGCAGCCTTCGCATGTGCTATATCATCTTCCTGTTTATAATCATATACATACACATTTATACACACATTTGTATGTATACACACACACTTTTTTCCCCATTGTACATGTTACTTAATCAGAAATATTCCTGGCCCAGTACAAGTTATGCTTTAATGCTATTGCATTTTCTGCAGACGTTTTTGTTACGAGTTATCAGCCAAAGCAGGTTCCCCTCCTGCCCCCGCCCTCACGCCATCACCCTGTTCTGTAGTAGGAGCTTCCAGAAAATGTGCTGCAAAACAAAGTCCCTAATTCTTCCCCTCACATCCCCTGCCCTGTCTGTGTCTTGTCCCTGGTAGTTTCAATGAAAGCTGATAGGCTTTCTTTAGGAAATTTGGGAGCAAGTAGAAAAAAATCAAATTCTAGGCACCAGGTGCTTTCACAGAGCTTGCATCACTGTTGGAGCTTATTTGTCAGACAAGATGAAGGAGATTGAAGGCCTCCACTCAAGTCAAGCTAGCAGTTTTAGACATTCCTTACCTTTCATTGTCCCACATCTATAGTTGGAAGTTAGTACTCACTGGAATAAAACCTGACTTGTACTTACCTTACATCAATAAGTCTGAGAAAAATGGATTAAGTTTCACTGGTGTTTGCTGGGAAAAATATATTTCATGAGCATCCTCCTGCATTTTTCAATAACTATAGCACCCACTTCTGTTTTCAGAGAAGTTCCCATGGCAGTGGTTAATAGTCTCAGTCTGAGAACAGCTGCAGGACTTGTTCAGAAATGATGAGCACAACTAGTGTTGCTGTTGTGGGCCATATTTGGGTAATGCAAGGCAACTAGGAAAATTACTTAACCACTAGGTTTCTTATTTAGTTATAGACATCCTTGTGGTATTCTGTATGAGAAACCCTGAAGTGATTAGCTGAAGTGGCAATACTTGGTTCTTTAAAAACCAACCAAACAAAAAAACCCACCCACCCACTTTGTAGGTCGTATGAAGTTCTCATGAAACTGGAGCTCCTACCAAGAGCTGCAATTAGAAGTAGTTCCTAGGCTTAAAGGTGAGAGATTGTGTGTTCTGGACAAGAGATGCTTAAGTACTCAGTTTGAATTGAATACTGGTACACTGGGCAAGAGAGGAAGGCCAAGTGATGAAAGAGCAAAGGAAAGAGTAGAAAGTGATTGTCTTGAAAAAGGCCAACGGTATGGTTCTATAAGTTATTTGCAACAGAAGTAGTATGTATTCTGTGCTGCTGTGTATCATTATATGGGGCTAGAGAGGAACATAAAGTTCATTTTGCTACTCATCTGGGTTAGTGCAAACGGTTGCATTTAATTCTGACAAAATATTGACTACTACTTCTTTACAGGATTTTTAAGCAGTCTTTACTGAGGCTTTGTACTGCTGTAGACTTTAATTTCACGTAGTGCAATATAAAACCACAGTTAACTGGAAGCTTTTTACTTGAAATATATATTAAAAAACAATTGCCATGGTTTTTGAGGAAAGCAGCAATAAAACTTAGCAGCCTGCTAGATATCTTGTAGGAGTAACATCAAATCAGCATACTTTTTAATTCTGTAATAGAAGCTTGTCAATGCTATCATTTCCTTTTCCAATGTTTCTACAAAGGCTGTCTCTGAAGTCTTCGATATCTTGTGTAGTTGCATAGGTTGAAAGCCCTCTCCCTTTCAGCAAAGCATATATAGACTATTGATCATCTGTTGCTCTCACTGAACAGGGAAGCAAGAACTAGAGATGGAGAGAAATATCTCTCTTCCCTATGAAAATCTTGTTTTTGTTGGAAGTGTGATATTTCTTGAGTACTGGGCGCCTCTAAATACAGATGCTACAACTTGTGTAGACTTCCCTGCAGTAGTTTTTCACTTCTCCTTTCTTTGCTCTGCATCTACTGTGATCTAAAGGTATCTTCTGGTGTATGAGCTTCAGTGTTGAGTGTTTGCGCGTTCTGCCCTCTGCCATCGCTCTAATTGTGTTCTGATTTTTCTCTCAGTTTCTCTTGGAACCATGACTTTTTAATTCCAGTTGATTCTGTAATTATCTCCAAAATTAGCTCATGTTCTGAACAGCAGAATTTGTGTTAGCATTTTGGCTTCGTTTGCTATCATAATGTTTCTATCTTAGGGATGTATATACCCCTGATCTTTTTTGCCCGAGAATACCTGAAATTCACTTGTAATCCTGGTTCGGCTGGTTTGTACATCAGTCAATATTTTCCTTTCCTATCCAGACTTTCCCTTGTGTCAATACATTAAATTAATAATGTTTTTTCTTCTTTCCTCTTCCCATGACATGTCAGACTTGTTTGTTTCAACTTTGTTTTCTTGATGCTCCTGTTAATTATTATCCCCCCATCTAACAGCTCTTTATGAGCCATTGGCTTATAAAAGCATTTAAAAATCCTCCGGTGAGTTAAGTTAATCTTTCCAATGAAAGGAGGAATTGACGGAATATCAAGAAGGCAAAGTGAGTGCTAGACCAACTGCGTACACCAATATTACTTTTAGTCTAATCCTTAAGTGTTTATTTGTGATTAGATTTACTGTAATTTAATTTAGACTAGCGGGAATATTTCTGAAGGCACAAAAGAACTATATTTGTTTTTCAGTCAGTGGGACATGCAGCTAGCTGTCCTTGGCAGCTCTGAAAAATCTTCAATTCCTTTAGAATGCCTGATGGTGCAATGTGAAATACATGAAGCCAGAATAGGGGCACATACAATAGTCCTTGAAATGTCATATCTTAGGTCCCTTTTAATGCTAGGAGTAATTCAACATTATTTGTACTATTTAAAAAGAAAAAAAAAAAAGATTGGGATTGTCCATGATTTGTAATATGGAGCTTGCAACTCTTTTCTACCAGTGATTGCACAAGTTACATTAGTGAAAGTTAGGATTGTTAATTGCTACAATTTCTAGTATGTTTCCAGAGCTGGAGACCACTGAAGAATCAAATGTTTTCAAACAAGGTTGATAGAGTCACTGCTTTCAAATGTTGTATTAAGTATGTTGAGTAGATTCAGTCATAGCATTCCAATTAATGCTTTTATATAATTTGTCTGAGGAACCCAAGCTTGATATTTCTTCTCTTTAATGAGGTTATGATGTCTATTAATTTATTTTCATGTGATTGGTCTTCTAGGCAATCACTTGGTATGATCTTAAGCTTTTAATCTCTAATGCTTCAGGCTTGCTGCAGCATGATTAAGCTAAAATTGTGTTTTAACAGGTCTGTGACTGGAGGAACCATAAGAGCAACTCTGGCTTCTAATTCTCTGGGAGTTGTGAACTTACCGGTATCTTAGCTGGCCTGTGAATTTTTGTGTTTCTCCCTTTTCACAGTGCAGTTATGTTTCTGTTTTCATGGGTTTGCCTCCAACGGTGAGCTTCCTTCAACCCCAAAGTGCAGCGTCTAATTTCTTAAGGCACAGGAGTAGTAAAGGTTCTACAGGACAAACAAGATCCCTAGGGAGACCACAGAAGCTTTCAGTGACTTACATCCATCTGCTCTTTTTCCCTAACTACTAGCTGTTGTAGGGTTTTTTTTCTAGTAGACAGTAGTAGAAGTATTGCGTTTGCACTGATTACGTTTCTCTAAGAATTACAGCGATTAGTACTTGTGGATATTGTTACTTATGTTATAATTATGTTACTTATACCTTTCAAATAGGGTGGTTTTGGTTTTATTCTTCTTTCAACTTTTTGTCTAGATTGCTACAAGGTAGAACTTTGATCCTTGGGTTTTATCAGGCTTTGCCTTTTTATAGGTATTCTAGGGAGATGGGAAATATTCCAAAATACATATTTTTTTAAGATCTAGAAGCATAAAAAGCTTAGTGCTTTTTGAAAACGTTTGGGAACTGCTCAGAGAAGCTGAGCATTTAGAGCATTTAACAGCTGACCTCTATCTTGAAAGGGTTTTATCTCCTGTATTCATTATCATGAATGAATATCTAAATGTGACTTCTGGTTGCAAATTTGCAAGGTTAAAATAGTATTGAATTGCAAAAGTCATCCTAACCTTTTCTTGCAAAAAGCAGTTTTACCTTGCAGTGACTTACTAATCAGCTGATGCCTTATTTAAACCATAGAAAGGTGTAATATAAAGGCAGTGAGAGATTTTGATAGACCACCTGAAAGTAGAATAGAATGATTTATTTTCATGTGATTGTTTTACAGGTTGAAAATTGGTGTCCTCGTTTACCTTGGAGAGCAAAAAATCCTAATGAAGAAACTGATCAAAAAACGGTGGTAAGAACAGTGTTAAACATGAGAAAAAATTCAGGAATTGTGATTCATGCAAAAGATCCTAGAATCCTGTGCCACATAAATGATAATAAGACTAGAATTTACTGGTTTTATTCCTCAGCTCCTCAAAACTGAAGGGAAACATCTTTGACTATGTATATATCTCATCATGTCTTTTCTCCAGCCATTATATCGTGCTGCAGTCTTGTGGTAGATTTCCATGAAAAATATTTTTGTGTTTAAATTTATGAAATACTATACACCGATACCAAGAAAAATTACAAATCCATAGACTGTTCACCAGTGTTAAGTGACTATATGTGAAACTGTCCTTTTTTATTGTCCCATAGGTCTGGGCCTTATATAAAAATACCTTAATGGAAGAGGCTTATGTACATTTCAGTTTTGTAGTAACATTTTGATTCCACCTAATTTTTTTCCTTTAAAAACTACAGCATGCAGACTTGTTTCTAAACTATTACAGCCTAATTATGTAGCACTTAAGTATTCTGAGATAATTGCTAGGCTATATATGACCATTGCTTACATAATTTAGGTATAGGCTGTCTCATTTTGTAAAACCAATTGTTCTTAGATCAGTCGAGCTTTAAAATTAATATTTCCTTTAAAATTTAAACTCTGATAATGTTTCTTCCTTCATAGTGTAATAGGAGACTTCCTTGTATTTGGAAAATTTGTGATATACATGAATATTCAGCGTACTGTTCTGATTTTATATGGTGTTTTAGAGATACTTTAACCTCATTTTGAAGCACATAGACAAAACCAAATCTTATATTGCAGAAACAAATACATTGTGAAACATTGCAAACGTATTCTGGGACTACCAAATACTACTGAAAAAAATAACGATAATTTATGTGACCTAGAAATGTCTGTTTAAAGGTATCTTAAATATTTGAACTAAAATGTCAGCTTGAGTTTAGCATTAGAAGTCTAACTTCTTTTCAGGTTGTTTTTTTTGAGGGGGTTGTTTTTTGTTAATGAGAAATTTAAAGCACAGAGTACACATATGAGAAATTTTTTCACTCCTGGAAAGTACAGTATTCGAAGAATAAGTAATGTTTGTGGGGTTTTTTTAATGCTTTAATTGAAGGCTGAAATTCGTATCAACTTTGATAATCTCTACAAAATGATGTCAAGACATGAGGAATTCAGGTGGATGATGTTACGCATCAGACGAATGGCTGATACCTGGATTGAAGCAATTAAATCACTTGCAGAAAAACAAAATTTGGAGAAGAGAAAACGAAAAAAGGTAAATGAAAACTTTTTTCATTCCTGCCACTTGCAGTCATGTAGGCTCTTTTGGACTCCTTGTTCCAGAAGTAACTTCAGAGTGGAAATATGAAATATGCCTAAAAGGCTTGTGTTTATACTTGTGCCTCTCTTCAAGAAGTTTTTCACTGTTTGAAATTACTGTTACAATGGGTATTTGCTTTACAAGTAGTTTTACATACTTTCCATGAGTCAATCTTTGAGTAAGTTTTCTAACGTCTTTAATTTTGGATAAAACAGAAACTATGTAGAAGTTTCTAAAGGGAGAAAATATGAATTTACTATAAGCTGATGACAGTGGAGTGTTTTACGTGGTCATAGAAAGCAACATTTGTACATCTTCTTTGTCTAAAATTGAGACTTGAAATGGCATATTTCTGGTTTGGATTTGAATAGACTTAAAGTTGATCAGAACTTTGGATTGGATCAGTTTAGACCTCCTATAATGAGCTCAATTTAAAAACTATGAGATTCTTGAAGTGAAAAGTTGTATTTTGTTTCATTTTTTTTTTTTTTAATTACCTCAACTAATTAAGATAAAGCTGAAAGTTGTAAACACAACAACAGGTTTTCCTTCCTGCCTTATTCTTACTGGAGCCAGTCCTGAGTGACAGCAGGCCATGCACAGTCATGTTTCTACCCTCTCTTAAGCCTGGCTGGCTGCAGCTCAGCTCCTTGCTTGACATTCTCAGTCCTTGCATGAGGAGGTCTAGGTTCTGTGTTGCAGCTCTAATCTTTGTCACATACTACAGTCCTTGAGTAGGCTCACACTCTATCAAGGAGCAACCCTTGTCTTTCAAGCAGCCCTCCAGCCTGTTTTGTTAAAGAAATATAACATCTGAGAATACATAAATTCAAGAATAAAGAGAAGCGGTACTGTCCTGTGCAGGCAGTTTTGATGGGATGCTCTAGTGCTTATTCTTTGCTTTTAAAAGTCCTATGAGGTTGCTCTGTAAAACATACGGTGATATCATTTTAATATGTCCAGTTCAGTTCTGGGAGCTGCAGGAGACTAGAACAAAATAGTTTTTTGAATGTTGCTTCTTTATAAAGAGTGAGGGATAAGGTTTTTATGCTTGGCACTGTATGTACCGGCACTCAAATAACAGTCCAGGTATGTAGCGAAGTGTTTGGAACTCAACTTCTGTGCTTCATTAGAAAGGCAAGCACAGATTTCAAGGAACTACAGAGAAAATTCTCCTCTGGTGGCAATGGAGAGGAGAGGTTTGGAAAGCATCCTGTTATTCTTACGCAGTATTTCCAAGTTCTTAATGGCTTGTTCACAACAGCATACCCTTCCTTAACTATACTGTCTTGCATAAGCAAGTGTATCCTACTTGAGAATACAAGCGGTTATTCAATCAAAATAAGTTAATGTGAGCCACAACTTCCTGTGCCGAATTACAGATTATGTTGTGAATAACACCAGTTTTGGGGGTTTGTTTAATTACTGATCTGGTGGCATATAATAATGCAAAACAATGTGGTAACATTCTTATAATTACTGTTCTAGAGATCCACTACAAAATTAAATTATTGGGGTGGGAGTATTGAATTTTTTTGGTTGATTATGTGGCCACAGTTGGAATTTAATAGAAAGAAAAAAATGCTGTGAGGTATAATAGTTGCATGTGTAATGTCGATAATTCTAACATACGACTTTCCTTTCCAGATTCTTGTTCATCTGGGGCTTTTGACAAAAGAATCTGGATTCAAGATTGCAGAAAATGCGTTTAGCGGTGGCCCACTTGGTGAATTAGTCCAGTGGAGTGATTTAATTACATCTCTCTACTTACTGGGCCATGACATCAGGATTTCAGCTTCACTGGCAGAGCTTAAGGAGTAAGGAGATTACTTTCACTTTTAAAACTGGAATACAAAAAAAATTACATGGAAACTCTTGAAGCTTCTGTTAACAGTGTATAATTTCTTGCATAAAATGAAAGTGATAATTCAGTAAACAGACAATAAGATTATTTTCATGAGCTAAGTATATGTGCTGTGAAAAGGATAATGTGTTTTCGTTGTAGCTGCAGGCTCCTGAGACTTCATAAATGAATGTTGTAAAATTCATACTAAGCAGCTTATTCTTTAACATTCCAGGTGCTTTAACCAGCTGCAATAGGAGATGTTACAGACTAGCCTAATTCTGTGTCCTCTTCTTCAGTTTGTGCTATTCTTCACTATCTCATTTAAAAATAAAAGTTTAAATCCTTTAAACACATTACTTTTGATGTAGTTAATGGCTTATGTTAGGTCAAATTACTACTTCACTCATCTTTGTCTTGCTTTGCATATTAGTTCAGCATTAGGCATAAAACATCTGTTTTAAGCTTGAGCACGTACACTTTCTGTAGCTTTTGGTTTTTTATGACAAATGTGACAGCATCATTTTATAGAGAGCTCTTATACTATAAAACTGTCAATAGAAGCTAGAAATTATTTCAAATAATTTCAAAGCACACTATTTTTAAACATTCCAACCATATTACTTTCTTGTTTAAACTAGATAAAGTTTTTAGTGAAAATTAGTGCTTTACTGATATATAAACTCTTCTTTAATAAATGCTGAGCATCTTTAGCATTTGAATGTTCTTACGTGGTTCCTGATTTGGGAAAGATAAGAGTAAAGCTTTTTTGGAAAGGTAATTATTGGTATAAATAGTATTACAGCATCTATTCAAGGTATTTGGAAAGTGATACTTTTCCATATTCCTTCTTTCTTTGTTTAGGATTATGAAGAAGGTTGTAGGTAACAGATCTGGCTGCCCTACCCAAGGGGATAAAATTGTAGAACTCATTTACATTGATATTGTGGGACTCACTCAGTTTAAGAAAACCCTTGGTCCATCATGGGTACATTACCAGTAAGTATAACACTTATTTGAACTCTTAACTGCTTTGTTAAAGAGCTTTTGTTGAATAACACATGTCAAAATACTGAGGCGAGTACATTCGCATGAATTTGAATTTTGTTTAAAATTGAAAATGTGTTTCTCTGTTGTCGTTCACTCTTAGGAATAAAGGGGCTGTTACCTGTTTGTTGCACACCATCTTTATCCCCCTCAGCAAGTTTGGGATTCTTGGATTCAAACATTTTTAATCTTAATGAATTATATTATCTTGTTGAGTCGTCATCTTCGCTTTTCTTTCCCTCTTTTCTATACCCTCCCTCTTTTTTTTTTTCTGTAAATTAGTAGATGAACTGAGAGATTGTTGGATTTTGTTGTTTAGTTGGAATGCCAAAGGCATATTTTGCTTGTCAGTGTTTGTAGCCATACTGGATTGATAATTGTGGAGGTTTATCTATTCTAATTGTATCACTCAGCAATCACAATGCAATTTTTTTTCTGTTCCATCCCTTCAGATACTGGGCAGAGAGTAGTCTTCAGGGGTAGGCATAAAGAATAAACTGCACTTGTTGTTGCTTCTGTAATGTATACACATCTTTCCATTAGAAATGGAAGATGGCGGTCACAAGGAATTACTTTGTACAGCCTTCTTAGCATCTGCAGTTTTAGAACCACATTTCTTTTTGTCAATAACTTTAAATCAGCAAGCCTCCCATGTGTTGCACGAATACATATCAGCATGAAATAAAACCAAGTCTAAATTACTGACTTTGATTTTTCTATACCTAATCGAATTAGCTGTGTTTCATGATCCATAAAGTCCAGTAAATCCTCCTTGAAGGAACATATTGAAAGATGTTCACTGCAGGCAGAAAAATTGTTTTCTCTCAACTTCAGGATTTTCTAGAGCGTTGGATCTTTTCAGCATACTTTTAAATGAGGGTACTGTGATCAGCGTTGCAGATTAGATTACCCTTAATCTCTTTTTTGAAGCAGAGGAGTAAACGGATATTCTGGTTTTTAGGAGCCTGCTAATGAAGATAATCCCATTTTCCACTGAGCTACAGTTGGTTGTCTGTCTGCCAGATGTAATTGTCCCTAAGTGATAACATACAGTGTTGTGGTCAGGACATAAAACCATACTAAGAAATTTAAAATGTTTCTTCCCTTTTGCTTTCAATTTCCTATTTGCTATATTCTGTAATGAAGATATGGAAATACACCATGACAATTGAGATTATTAGATTACCTCTTCAATTTTCTTGCTTATTTCATGAATTGTTAAATCTTAAGTTGTCAATCTGTTTTTCATTGATTCCTAATTTGTGGTAATGACTGACTTTTTCTGGTTTAGGAGAGTAGAATTAAATTTAAGTCTAAATAAATAATTTAGGTAGTTTAGGAGTTTTTGTTAGGCATTTGAAGAAGAAAAAAATTACTTAATGCCTCTCTTCTACAGTGTTGGATTTCATTGGATGGAAGGGGACCTCATCTAGTCCATAGGCTTGCTGAAAGTAGATTGGGTATATTTGTCCTTCTTGAGAGATTTTTGCCTAATCATTTACTGAAGAAGATGCCACAGCCGTTGTTTTATATTGCTAAGCTTTTCTTTAAAGTGCTTTTCTTGGCCTGGTTTCTTACAAATTGCTCATTACTGCTTATTCTAATACGGTTCTGGGGAATAAATTACTTCCTTCCCCTCTCTGCCAGCCTCTAGAATATCTTTATACTCCTTTTCCTTGAATTTACTTTTCTTCAAAATAAATTTAGGGTTTTGGATGATTACCTGTAATTCAGGTTTTGTAGACCTTTCATCAAACTTGTTGCATTTGTTGGGAATCTCTCTAATTACCTGATACTGTTTCTCAAGTTCAGTGTACAAAACAAGATCCAGAGTCTAACAGAGACTACCAGAATTGATAAGAGCAGAAGAATTAATTCGTAGCTTCATGCATGTTATCTCCTATTTGAGGATCCTCTTGTAATAATTTTTTTTCTCTCAGCATAGAATCATTATGGTTGGAAGAGACCTCAGAGATCATCAAGTCCAACCTTCTATCCAATGCCACCATGCGCACTAAACCATGTCTGAAAGAATCATGAGTTACCTCAGATTTTGTCATCAAACTATTTCTAAGTTAAAACTAACAATTCCAGTATAAAAGCATAATTACGTTTGTTTAATTCATTCTGGTAAAATAAGCATTATCACAAATAAAGCTGCTTTATAGCCCTTCTTCTGTACAAACTTTACTTTCTCACTCAGTTGTATTTAATGTCAGTAGGAATGAGTCTTTGTTTTGAAAGAAGTCTTTTGCTTTGTGCCATATAGTTTTTCAGGAGACCTATGCAGGTCACCTCAATCTGGTTTATGCGGACCAGACTCAAATGCAGATAAATTAAAGTTTGCTTATTCGCTTCAGATTGGAATAGAGTGGTAGAATAAACCTCTGCTTTCAGAACAGTCTCTTGATAAGAGTGCTGTATATAACCTTTGGGAGTGAACTTGAGCCCTGAGGAAATTCTTGGTAATTGCAAATCAGGTATTTAGGACTGCTAGCTCAAAAGAATGACCCTGCTAGTCTGAGGGGTGACCATTTCTGAACACCTGAAATACCGTTTTGTACGTCTGAGATCAGTAGCACCAGTGACTCTTGGTAGTATGTGCTTTATCTGTGGTATAATTGGTGCTGTAAATACCCTGAATATAGCAAAACAAATCTCATTTTTGAGTGCACTTTATTTTCAAGCAGAAGAATGCCTGGATACGCTGTATTTTTCAGTTCTGAAGTCTGGATATTTGAATGCAGTTTATGTGCAATGAAGCAACATAAAAATTAGTAGCTTAATATAGTTTGAGGAGTGCAACTCATTGCCTTTCTTAGCACCTGCATCCTCCATACAGCACTTAAGAATCTGGTATTTTTTTCATTTTTCTACAGTCTCTGTAGCAATGACTCATTCCCATATGCCAAAATCCAACTGGCTTTATTCTTGAAATAATTTAACATGACAGCTATCCTGAAAAATGAGCAATGTTCCTGCGTCTTACATGTTCTCTAGAATACATCTGTTTTAGGAGGGTTATTTTCTGACTTAAGTTTTTATGTTTTAAATGTAAGTGCTGAGTGGCCTGACGGTTAACCTGTGTGTCTGCAAGGATTTCCATAGGCAGATAGGAGCTACTTCATGATCTGAGCTGGCTGGAGATAAGCCAAAACAGTCTGGTGTCCATGGATCTGTGCTGGCATGTTGCTGTGCCTAAGCTCAGTGCACCTACAGAGCTTCCAAACCAGAATTGGTTGGGTTTTGACCAGCTTGCTCCCAGGAAGATGTCAGCAGCGACTGGCATATATGTGCCCTTTATTTAACAGTTTATGCTGACATAAGCACTAATTGCTGACAGTGATGGGTGCTGCTGGACAGCATTGCTTGTTCAAACAACGATGAAGTATGTGTAAGTAGAGAAAAATTATAACCTCAGGTTGGGAGAAGGATATGAATAAACGTGTATAAATACTTCCACTAAGACAGCCCAGTTAAGATTGTGCTTATGCCCAATATTTATGGAAAAACTCTCACTTTGAAAAAGGTGATAAGACTGGGTTACTTTTGTCTAATTTTTTTTTTATAAGCCCAAAAATTGTCACTTCTAATATGCTAGAGGAAAGAAGACTTTAATATGGGTGTCTCTCTAAGCAGTTTGCTACCCACCAATCCTCTTTTTAATTAGTCAATGAATAGACTAATCAGTCTGACACCAATTCTAAGGCATGCCGTAATTATCTGCAACTTCACTGCTAAAGCTAGGTGACATTTTAGGAAGGAGGGGGAAATGGAGTGAAAAACTGGAGTTTAAAATCACACTAAATTACATTTTTATTTAAAATATATCCTTGATTTTTAAAAAATACTGTTTTGCCATTTTCAAAATGAATTATTTCACTTTAGAAATGCTATGACATTGTATGCAAAATCAAACTTTTAGTTTTAAAATAGTTCAGTTGAAAGAGATTTAAACTACTAACTCAAACAAATGGAGAATATAGTACTTGGGCAGACAATTGAGGCATTCCTACATATGTTAAAATATCAGTTCAGCGTAACTGGCATTAATTACATTCATTTCTAAATTTTAAATCTTTACTTAACCAGTTCTTTTCTGCTGCATTTCAGGGATTAGATTCACCACTTGAACCTTGGGTCTCTCATACCGTTTCTGCACACACTTGCACTTTCTGCTGTGATTTTTTTTTTCTCTCTTTTTTGACTTACTTTACGCCCAAATCATATAAATATTTTTTGTTTTCCCTGCTTTCTGGTTTAGCTTAGTTTCTGTTGTGTCACATTTCCTGTCCTGCTTCAGAGACCCTGTCTGTATTGGACATTGTTGCACATATCCCTATGGACAATTAGTGCTACATACGTTACATCTGAATCCAGGAAAAAGAGAGGAAACAAGGCACTTTGAGATGATCACATGCAATGTAGTGCTCCTTACATACATAATTTGACAAACTCCAGTAATGTTACGGTTTTTCAGTAGCTTTCACCCATTTTTCATTCCCCTGTACTCAAGTACCTGACCAGAAGCTGTATATTTGATAATTTTGTTTTAAGGCCTACCAAGAAATAAGAGGGCTTTTATTACTGAATGATTCATCAGTGCAGAAGTTGTTTTGGTCCTGCTGGAGTATTTTGTATGATGCAGAGATAATTGCCACTGTTGTAAAATATTTTCATTGAGAACAGTTGACATAAAACACTGCACTGAAACTGATCTGTCAGCTTTGTTGTTTGGTGAATCATAATGTGTTGTATATTTTAACTTTCTTTTTGCTTGAAAGAACTCTGTGAAGATTTAAAAAAAGTAAATTTGCTCTATTTGTACTTTCAAATACAAAGGTAGCATTTCATATGAGAGTTTAAAAGTTGCTGGTTGTTTTTTCTATTTCTTAATTTAAAGGATATTTTAGAGAAAGGAGGAACATATGAAAAATAGGTAAATGTATTTTTGGGACTAAATTCTTTCATCTTTTAAAACTGAAAAATTGTATGAGCGAAGTTCTTTCACCTTCTGTGGGCTAAATTCTTTCACATTTTAAAGCCAAAATCCTGGTATTTTGCTGCACAGAATATGTATGGGCTTGGAGCACGGGAAATGTTGAAGACTGGGAAATACAGCTATTTTTAATAGTAACTTTTGCAGCTACTTCCCTTCTCTGCCACCTGTGAGGTTGTGTCTCTTCCTTAGCACATACAAGCCCAGTGATATAACAATCAGTGATAAGACTTTATAGCATAGTTGCACATGATGTAAGAACACATCCTATCTAAGTTGTTTTCTGAAAATTTTGTTTGTGGAGGGCTGAAGAACAATAGGATCAGCAGTTTTGGAGCCATATAATCCAATTCATTTGCAGTGGAGCCAGGTTTGGCAGGCTGCATTTTGGAAACATAACTTCTAGAATCTGTATGCTAGAATGTGTGCTGCATTCTTCGTACTGAGACTTTTCTGACTTTCATGTACTGTGGGCCCTTTTTTGAAAGGAGCAGCTGGTAAATGAAGTAATTTTTTTTTTCAAGGAATTAATAGAAGTTTAAATAAAGGACTGAGTGTGATTCTCTCATCCTAGACCCTTTGTAATCCAAGGCCAAAGTTTCTCTCAGTTGTAGACTGGTTGTTGCAGACATTTGACTTATGTTGCTTCTTCAAAAGTATGTGACAAAATGTTTCATAAACAAATAAATGGTCTGTCTGACTGCAAATATTCAGCAAATTAAACTGTCTTCAGTGCTTCCCCAGTAGGTCTAATTGACCCAAAAGTCAGAACCTGCAGAGTAAATACAATTGTCTAAAGACAAAGTGCTATTCTGCTCTGATCTTCTTGGCTTGTGGCCCTTGGCTGTTGCATTTGATTTTGTGGTAATGGGTGAGAACACTAGAAAATAGATGAAGAATCCTCTCTTCTTCTGCCTAAATTTTACTTCAGAGCCCCAGAAATGTAGGAGACCACGGTAGCATTCCTATAAGCTCTACTTGGATGTAGTGAAAGTACAAAGAAGCCCAAAATAAGCTCCAGGGTTGCTATTTGAGTGTCTGATATAGCCTTGAATTTGCTGATCGTAATGTCTTTGTGAATACAATATGAACAGAAATGTTTGAAATTAAAATGTACCTTCAGTTTATAAATCATCCACAGTTGCAAACAAAAACAAAACACATCATCTTAATAATAAGCGTGTGTATATATACATAATTATATATACATATACATGTGTACCTACAGTAAATTTCCTTTTTTTTTAAGGTGTATGCTAAGAGTTCTGGATTCCTTTGGAACTGAACCAGAGTTTAACCATGCCCATTATGCCCAGTCTAAAGGCCACAAGACACCATGGGGAAAGTGGAACCTTAATCCACAGCAGTTTTACACAATGTTCCGTAAGTATCCCTGTGTTTAAATAATTTGCAGCTTTAAAAAAGAATGCTGTCATTGAGAATTTTTGTATTATGAAAGACAAGTTCATGGTTTAATAAAATGCAGCAGCTAAATGGGCAGAATCGTGTCAGTGAGTATTTGTAGTCTGTGCAAAACTCTATTGTGCTTCCATCCAGCAATCAGAAAATAACTATCAACTTAATGTAAATAATGGTAGGGAACTTTATTCTCAGGGTACCTGTGGAAAGTGATGATTGGCTTTTCCTTCAAGTGTCAGTGAGTTTGCTTTTGTTAATTTTGTCTTCTCAAATCCTGCTACAGAGTGATAGTTTTTGAGGAAGTTGCTAGATTGCATTTTTATGAACTACACTCTTGCATTTCATCATGTTCATAGAATCATAGAATGGTTTGGTTGGAAGAGACCTGAAAGACCACCTAGTTCCAACCCCCCCTGCCCTGGGCAGGGACACCTTCCACACGACCGGTTGCTCAAAGCCCCATCCAGCCTGGCCTTGACCCCTTCCAAGGAGGGGGCATCCACAACTTCTCTGGGCAACCTGTGCCAGGGCCTCACCACCCTCACAGGAAAGAATTTCTTCCTAATGTCTACTCTACATCTTCCTTCTTCCAGTTTAAAGCCATTGCCCCTTGTCCTGTCACTCCATGCCCTTGTAAAAAGTCCCTCCCCAGCTTTCTTGTAGGCCCCTTTAGGTACTGGAAGGCTGCTCTGAGGTCTCCCTGGAACCTTCTCTTCTCCAGGCTGAACAACCCCAACTCTCTCAGCCTGTCTTTCTAGGAGAGGCGCTCCAGCCCTTGGATCATCTTTGTGGTCTCCTCTGGACTTGCTCCAACAGATCCATGTCCTTCTGGTGTTGGGGGCCCCAGAGCTGAATGCAGTTAAACTGAAGTTTGTAACTATGTTAACTATGTTGTTGTATTTCTGCTTTTTTCCTCTCAACAACTGAGCAGCACAATTCCTTTGCTATTCCTTTGTGTTCAAGATTAATAAACTAACACTCAGCAAAAATAATTTTTTGTCTCTACTTTTCTGTGGATTTCTCAAAACTTTCACCTAGCTTCTTTTCATGTTGTGAGCATTCATCCTGAGGTGACTGTTTGTATAGCAGTGTACAAAGCTATTGAAAAACAAGTAGTTGATTTCAGCATTGCTGTAGATCTTTGAAGCATCATTAAATATCTTTTTTTTAAAAAAAAAAAGAAACAGAACACAAAAAAATATAAATTCTGTATAAACTGAGTCAGATTAAATGATTACTGTGACCTGCTCTAGCCCTAGTCTTTGACTTCATGCCACTAGGTTCTGGAATCACAGGATCTTTCCCTTGCATGTTGTAATAGTTGTTCAAGTTTGTTCTCTCTGAAAGGTGCAGAAAGATTCACTGCTGCCAGCTGGCTGGAGGGTAAGTGAGGCTTAGGAAAGTGCATGCTGTTGTGTGCGGCGACTTCTCAGCCCACATCTGTAAAGAAACACTTGGTAGCGACCAACCTGACCTCCAAAGTTTGGTGATGGTGCCTGTCTGAGACTAAGGCCAGGGCGTGCACTGTTCTGTCTCATCAGACTTCATAGTCAAGTCGTTCCAACTTTTCTGCTTTTCATAGCAGAATTATACATGCTGCTGTCTGGTTGACATGCTTTTGATTTCAGTTACCCTGTAAAGCTCTTGAGAGGGGCATATTTTGTCTGTCAACATTTGCTGTGCAAGTTTTTCCAGAGAAATGTAAGTGAAGGTTGTTCGAAAGATAAAAGACTGCATTCACAGTTGTTTCCAAGCAAGCAACAAAACATGTGATGGGGAAATGTGACTCTGAAGTGGTTGTAGAGTTTGTGTCTGGTACAGTAGTAAGCAGAACTTTTTCCATATCCACATAATTTGCTAATATTTATTGGTTTATGTCCTAAATGGAAAAGAAACTGAAAGCTCAGTCATGCTGTATTTAAGTAGTCCAACTGTTGGGAAATTTGTGTGTGAGGTCCTGTTCAAGATAGCACCAAGGGTGATGATGCACTTGAGGAAAATAGTTGCACAAATACCTGTGGTACAGCTGTGTGTGTGCACTCCTCAATCCCACTCCGTGAAATACAGAAGAAAGTAATATCTTCTCTATAGAGGAGGTCTCTGTTATGCCAGTATAGACTACTGTTACAATCTCTTGTTTGGAACAAATCACTTCATAATGAATTTTCAGAAGAGTATGACTATATTGGAATTTCAATAAATAAGCGTTTCCAATTTTTACTACTGGAAATGACTGTGGGTTTTCCTTTGCAGGAAAAATGGTAAATAGATTGCAAGCAAACTCATTCTGAAGCGCGACTGATTCCAGCGCTATAGATTATTCAAGGATTTTGCTTCTTTTTGTATTAGGTGCAGAAGAGTCAGCGTGTGTCATGATATTTAAAGAGTTTTTTTGAGTTTTGTTCTGTGCTGCAGAGGTAGCACCATCGTTTTGAGGTTGTGATTAAAAGTGCATGTTACGCATCAGTAAAGATTTTATGGCAGACTGGAACCCTGGACAGCTTCCCAAGATCCCCAGACTCTATTATGTTTTGAGAACTCTGATTATAAGGGCAGAAAATTATTACTGAGCAACAAGCAGGCCATATTCAAACCTGTGGCTTATTACCAAATGCTTGACTATTCTCTGAGCTTTCCAGAAGCATGAGGGATATTTTTCCTTTTGTAATGTTTTTTATTTCAATTCTTTTATGCAAAGTAGCAGCACTGGTACTTTTAAAACTGCATGAGCTTGCTTAAAAATCCATCTGAGTGCTTCCTGTCAGTGGTGTTTGAGGCACTGAATTCCACCAGTTCCAAGTGCTAACTTTAACAAAGGTTTATTTTTCTTTTGAGTGTGTACTGCCTTGCCTCTCCTTTGAATGCGGTCTCTCATCCAAAAATATGAAAGGATGGAAAAATGCCTCTTTTCAGGCATATTTGCAATGTGCCATTTGCTATGCTAAATTCTAAAAAGTCCTTGGGTCTAAGTGAGTGCCTAGCTGTTGCTGAGGCACTTTTTGTGAAAAAGAGTAATTGTCATTTGAAAGACTAAATGTAATGGCAGAGGGAAGTGTACACTGTGCATGGTTTCTCTGTTGTACTGCATTATCCAGTTGGCTGATTTTCAGGAATCAAAAAACCAAACCTCATAATTGCAATAGAATTTTATTTTGTTTTTTTTTTTTATAACTCTGACTATAGATTTAGCATTGCATGTATCCTAAGTGCCTGGGGCATTGTCTTTGGGGGTTTTTTTGGTTTGAGTTTTCTTTTAACTTTGCAAAATGTGGTTAGTAAGAAGTTGTCAGCTTGTGTGCCAGAATTTAAAAGGGCAGCTTATAGAGGAGATCCTAGTGTTTATTGCAGCCTGTTAATATAGGTTAAAAGTAATACAGAAAACCAAGAGTAAATTGCATATCTTTTGCATATACTTTTTTTATCTGGGAGCTGGATTAACAACATTTTTGCCAACTTCAGTTGTCACCTTTCAATATTTTATGATAGATGCATCTGAGTGAATTAGGCAGTGAAATTTGTATTCTGATCTGCATAGTCTGACTTTGTAGGCTAGTAATTAGCATCGATACATAATATGCAGTGAGTTGGATGGTTGGTGTTAGCTCTTCCAGTACAGGAGGTGAACCCAAGAAATTTACAAAAATTTATTTATGACATTGAGCAACGTACAGCTTTGTGAACAAGCATAAATCCAGATTTTTTTCAAATGGTTAGTATTGCATTTCTGAGATTCTCAAGCTGGATTTCTTCTGGTTCTCTTATCTCTAATAATAAGCACACAAAAAAAATCATTCTCATTGGCCTCGGTCCAGCTACAGAATTTTTATTGTGAGAAATGAGCCAGAAAATAACTGCTTACTTCAGTAGACGTATGCAGCGGGACTTAAAATTAATAAGAACTGTTCTCAATAATAAAGCAAGCAAATGTATCTCTCAGTATGAATATGAAGGAAGTGTTCTATTGAATAATATGTTCCTTATACCTACTTTTCTGACAACATTCATGCTTTTGTAACATTAACTGATAATTTAAAAGGTTTTGAATATGCTCTATTTCTTACAGCTCACACTCCAGATAACAGCTTCCTTGGATTTGTGGTAGAGCAGCATCTGAATTCCAGTGACATTAAACACATTAATGACATCAAAAGACAGAATCAATCTCTCGTTTATGGCAAAGTAGATCATTTCTGGAAGGTGAGTTTTCTATACTCATATACTGGAGCAAATTTATTTTGATCAATATAATGAAACAAAACTCTAAATTTAAAAGTGTCCCTTCTCTCTAAATCTATTAAGTTCTTTTTCTGAAAATAAACATATTTAAGTAATTAAATTGAACATTTTGAAGTCTCTGATGAGGAAACTTCTGTCTAGATTGATGTGGATCCTTTGCTATTTATGTACAAATTTCTCACAGAATGAAAAATTTTTATAGTCTTGATATCACAATAATTTTGGAAAATGCAGAAGCGACTAAAAATAATGGGAAAATGAAGATGTCAGAAGCTTTGTGAACTTTCATCAGTCATAATCAAATGTGTCTTTCAGTTATTTCTTTTCTTATATCTACAACCAGAAATGTGCTGCATTTTGAACTGGAAATTGTGTTTCACTAAAAGACCCTAGAAGTGTTTAATCTCATTTTATCTCCTTATAATAATATCAGAGTTTTGTTTCTTAAATATTGCAATTATTGTATTGTTTCCCATCTGCAGAATAACAGCACTGATGTTTGGTCATATTTTCACCAAGTTACAGTATACTGTGTTGTTAAGCTCACAGTGGTCTCTGATTTTTGTCCACTGTCCTTTTCTGGAGCTCCTTCTTGCAGGCTGCCACACCTGGGAGCATCTCTCTCATGCAGTTTTCAAAGAAAAACGATTACTTACTAATAACTGGATTGCTTCCAAGTTGCCTCTAGCTCTGTGTGCCCATATACTCTGTATGCCTTCTCTCCTGCCTAAAAAGACCTTCTTTTAATCCTCTTGTCAACTGAAAAAGGAACTGATCAGTACATGCTGTGCCATACATAGGGCCAAACAATATGGCAGTGGGAGAGCACCCATGTCTCACATTTTCTTTCCTTTTCTCATCATTGGCATGACAATATCGGTCTTGCACAGTTTTCTGAACCACAGAAGCAACATTTAGTCTGGTAACTGTGATTATATAGAATAAATTCTTGAAAAATGATAGCTACAAGTAAATGGTCCATCTGTGAGACAAAATAAAATATAAACTTAAGAGAAATGGGAGAATGTTGCCAGTGGTAGCAAAAAGGTAGAGCTGAATGCTTCTTGGCTGCTGTGCTGCGAAAAAAGTGTATTAGCTGTGTACGTTCAATTTTGATCTCTCAGGTTTAGGTTTGGGCTTATTGCACTAAACCGTGTAATCTGTGTCTTAAAAGGAAATTTTGCATTGCATCGTAGTAAATACTGTGACAAGTTATTCTGTTTGGCTCATGGTATAGTACAACTTAGTATGCCCCCCTCTGCAGTCTCTTCTGTCTGCGGAATGCTGGAGCAGAGCTGGGATCCTTTCACTCGAGTCTCTTCTAGCTGAGGCTCTTGTACTTCTAGTTCCTGATCTCATTATCAGTCTCCCAGGAACAGTTGCATGTAATAATCATCTATACTTCCTGACCTGATTTGTAGTGCACTTCAGCAGAACAACCTGTTGAATACTAATTGGATTTAAGGAACAAGATAGTTGCTTAGTCACCAGGGTTTTTTTTTCACTGACATATGTATCTTTCTCGGTTTATTCAGTCTGTGTGAATTCAGAAATATGTATTAAAAGCTTATATGCCCAGAGGGGAGATTTGTGATTGCCTAGTCTGAGATTCTGTATGACACACAGGATATTCATGGGCTGATTGAGACAAAACCATGGCTTTTTGGAAAAGAACATCCAATCTTCATTTTTAAATAGCACATGATGGAAACACCACTATTTCCTCTGGTGAAATCCTAGAATAATTGCCTTCTCCCTTAAGATTTTGTATTATTTCTGGTACAGATTTCCAAATGGTAATTTCCAGTCTTAGTAGCAGCTACAGACTTTGTCTACTGGACTGACGATGTTTCTGTTCTGTTTCCCCGTAGGAATACATAGGTTGAGGTCAAAAGTAACTGATAGTTGTCTCCTGAAAAGCCTGCGTATGCTGAACCACTGAGAGCTTACTGCCCTCTAATCCTTAAGTGTTCTCATGTGTCTGTTTTCTCTGAACCCTTTCAAGATTATTCACATTCCTCTTGAAATGTGCACATTAGCAAAGGGTACGTGGGCCATACTAGCAGCAAACTAAAACGAAATACTGTGTACATTGTTAGGCATATCCGCTTTTCACCGTTAGGAACTCATGTTTAGACAGCTTCTCAGACAAGACCCTTGTATAATTTTTTAGAACTGCTGCTTTTCAAGTCACTGCTCCGCTTCTATCAGTATTACATGTCTTGTTCTTCCAGGATGTATGACTTAATACCTGGCCGTATTAAAATGCTTACTGTATGCTTGTAACATCAAGCACATTAAAACTGTAACTTGCAGATTGTAACTGCAGTCATGCCATATGTGCTGGTGCGTAAAGTGCAATCACCGCAGATAGGCTTTGAATCGGTGACAGTGTGGGATGTCTTATCTAGAGTGATAAAATCCAATTCTTATGATCAACAGAAAGGCTGAACTAATCTTGTGTCTGTGTAATTTGCTTATTTCACGTTTCCTTCATTTTCCCTGTTCAACGCTCTTTTCATCTGCCACCAAGGCTTGTACAGACCCAGACTAATCTATTTACCCTGCTCCTTTTCTTTATATTGAACATGGCCAATTAACAAGAAGTGTAATCTCCACAGAATATACATGTCACTGCTGGGTCTGATCAGTTACTAGAGAAGCACAGTGTGGAGGGGAGAGCGTTCCAGTCCCCAGGCTCAGGTGCTTTTGGGGAATACCAGTTGCAAATAAATTATTTAATTTTAAACTAAGCAGGCTGAAATGGAGCTGAGGTATGCACAGGACCTTTTTTCCTGGGGCGGGGGGCGGGACTGAAACAGCTAACTGCCGTCATGGTTTTATATAGCTGTGGACGTGGGTCCTTTTCTGTGTCTGACTAGACCTGTTAAAAAAAAAAAAAAAAAAAAACAAAAAAACAAAAACACAAACAACAAACCCAAAAAGACCAATTCCTTAATTACTTGTAATTTCATCTTTCCTGGAAATCCCCACATTCCCAGCTCTGCTGCATGGCTGGGCAGAGTTGGTGACTGCTTAAACTGTGTACACTAACCAGGTTATTGTAGGTAGAGAATTATGGATTGCTTACAATGTTCTCTCTTCCAACATCATTCAACGGGGCTAAACTCCGATATGAACACGTCAAGTTAACAGGGGGAGGAATACAGTGATGACTTCTGTCAGCTGTGCTGGATACAGGAAAAAATGTCAGCCCATGGCCTTCATCCTGTATTACGGTGGGCAAGTCTAGGTACGTCTTGCTGGAGGTCAGGAAGGATGTAAGCTGCAGAGACCATAAGATACATCTTGTTTACTTCCCTCTGATAACTAAATCAGTCCTACGTGGGCTGAGGGTTACAAATAGGAGGCTCTAAAGAATTTTGCCGCATTTCTAAAGGTTATCCTTAGAGATAAGCTATCAAGGGCAACATTTGCCAAGCTTTGGATGTGTTTGTTGTAATCAAAGATTTCGGTTTTTGTCTGGGATTTCTGGCAGTACTAAGGAATAAAGAGAGTCCTATCTCTGCCTAAGTGAAAAAGAAGGAATGAATAAAATGTGAATGAAACCCATAATGCTCTCCATTATCAAAATTGGCTTTAATTACAGAACATTTCAATTAAAAGGGAATGCTTGAAGCCTTTCATGTCATCTTAGCTCCTGTTTCGGTATAAGTATTTTCTTTGTTCCTTTTCTTGCAACTTCCTATCATACTATTCCAATACTTCTGCCCTTAATCCTAGAAAGGAAAAAGAGTCAAGATTCATTTTACACTATTTGCTATTTCTTTTTTTGTGGGGTTCTGTGAGTGAAGTCAGAACTTTGCTTGTATTGGAAAATAACCGTCAATGCATAACAAACAATTGTCTGATGATTGCTTTAGTAGATTTTATTATAGTGTATTGGAGTTGCCTTAAAAAATATTTATGGATTTAAAGGCAAAATAATGTCTGAGTTTGTTATTAATGCCACTTGACAAGGTGGGCATTCTTCTTAAATGTATACTGTCTGCATAACAAGTTTTGAAGAATAGGAGATGGGAAATGGTTACGTTTAGCTTGTCCTCAATGGGGAAGTACATAACCAAGGCTGTTCTGACTAACGTCTCCCCTTTATAGCTCCTTGTGACATACGTAATTTCACCGTCATATACCCTCTTGCATGAGGTGGGAGGAAGAAACTGAGGAGAAGTCAGAAAGGAAAAAATATACTTCTAGGAATAGTTCTGTTACGTGCAGAGATCAGTGTCTCGCTGCTGGCAGCGTTGCCTTTTCCCTTCCTTCTGATTGGTTTTTCTGCTTCATATTTAGCAACATATTTTGGCTGAACATTTTATTTCATTTTCTAAGCTAAAAGAAACATAAGGAAAGGGAGAAAAGATCCTTCTCACCTTTTCTCTCCCACATGGTCAGTGCACTCACAAACTGGTCTCGTGGTGTTTTTATTTTGCCTTCCTCCACGCTTGCTGCAGCACCGTGGGCTTATCTGTTGATGGGAACTTACCCTAGTTGCTGTCACCAGGCACCAGGAGCACTGTCCTGCTCTGTGCCGTATAACAAATTGAAATGAGCCAAACAGTTTAGTTCAGCAACGTCTATGTATTTCACCATTTGCTTCTGAAAGAAGCATGGGTCAAAAAAACAAGTAAATCAAAGCAAATGAGCAGCTGTAGGTGCAGTATATAGGTGTACATGTATGTACACTTTTGAAGGCTTATTCTTCAACATTTATTATGAAGAAAGAAAAATATTTTCCTTTAATATTTGCCTTTCAGACACGTCAGCAATCAGCTGCTCTTTATGCAGAACTCTCCAGCTGCAAAATGAATTAGTGAGGTCTTGTAATACCGATTAACGCAATCATCTACTAGTATTTGATTATCGCAAAACTAACACAACCTTTTCTTCTTGTAGTCTCACTTCCTATTTTCTTCTGTACCCCTGCAGTTCTCTGCTTCAGCACTTACAGTGCACAAGTAAGTCCCATTGTTAGTTTTGGAAATTTCCATTTAAAGGACAGGAAATTCCTGGTTAGACATTAGTGCGCATTACATGACAACAAAATTGTCAAATCTTTCAAAAACCTCAGTGTAAAATTAAAAAAGATAAAATTTCATGGATGAAGAACTACAAGAAATGATGAATGAAATAGGTAAAGGCAAGGACGGGGAACTGAATAAGCAGGATTTCTGGCGGATCTTGAAGAACCCAAGGCTTTGCTGAGATGTTTTGTTCATTCTTCATGCAAAGATTATGTATGTGCAAAAAAAAATATATGTGCTAATGTGTATGTTATGCAAATACATGTGGTAGATGCCTTACAAAGAAACCATAAATGGACATTCAGGGAAGAACAAAAGCATAACAAAGTTACATAGTACTTCCTTGGAATATTGGCTCTCTTTCCAGCTTTTTTCAGCTCAGAGTATTTTCTGAATCTGTCTATTGATAAACTGACTGTTGACACACTTTTGAGACCTTGGTAAGAGGTGACTTCAAAGCCCTTCTCCGATCATGAACCTATGCAAACTTTCTTGCCTCCGCAACATTCTCTGTCATGGAGTCCCTCAAATCTCTGAGCTGTTGCAGGAGAAATCATTAACTTCGGGATTTTTCTAAACCTGCCTCCTGCTAGCTTTGTTTGGCTTCCTTTGTATCAGGACATTATGAATAGTCAGTCACTATCCGTGTTCTTTATGCCAATTACGGTTTTGTAAACCTCTTCTATTCAGCTGCCACTGTTTAAGGCTGGACTGGCACTTAAAGCAGATGACAGATGCTCTCTGTTAACCTCTTCCTACCCCAGAAGGAAAAGGAGTGGAGGAAAGGGAGAGAGACTTATGGGTTAGAAAGTTAAAACAACTTTAATAAAACAGTAACAGTGAAAAAGAGTGTAATAATAATAGAAATAAAAATGTACGAAACCGGTCTTGAGCTTCCCAGTGATCATCACGGAATTGTGTGCTGTG